TATATATATATATATATATATATATATATATATATATATATAATTCAGTCCAACTCAGATTTAGATACCTTTATTATGTTTTTTTTTATAGCTAAAATATATCTATTCAACCACCAAAATATTAACATAGTCCGGGTCCTAATAGGATAAGTAGACAAAGAAAATAGGTCCAATATTGAAATTTTAGCCTTTTGGGCTATAGAATGGGCCAGGGTATTAAAACTTCTATTTACATAACAAAAAGAAAAGGCAAAACCAAAGAAGATTTGCTTGCTCCTAAAGCGCTTGAATTGCTTGCATGGGATCCAAGCATATTAAGATATGATCGATTACCTTCTGCTTTACCAACTGGACTCCCAATAAGTCATAGATACACATATAGCTCCACTCCAAAAGTGTAGGAATTGCTTGAAATATATATAACCACCATCTGTGAAAAGAATAGCTTGAGTTTGCAAATCTAATTTCAATGTAATCTTGAGGGGGGAACCTAGTTTTGGATTGAATTAAAAATACTATTGGCCCTCATTAGAATCCAGTGAGGAAGAAGCACTTCTCAATCCTGGCTATCCACATGTAATATAGGGCTAACGCTATCCAGCACATTATCAGTCTCAGAACATTTTTATCATGAATTACTTGTTGGTTGTGATGATGCGCAATCCGACCGGTCTTAGCTGTCATTGACCTTGCCTCTGAATCGAGTAGCGGGGGACCTGAAACAAAGGAGATGAAGAAGCTCCGGGGAGAACCCGATGTAAAGGCTCCGAAACTTAAGTTAGAATCTTTCAAAGGCAAGATAAACCAGATAGCGCAAAGTTTTCCTACCTCCTCTTTGGGGGTGGAGAGCCTTTTATAACCACCTCATGCACTCACTCCTAGACTCCTGTCAGGTCGGGAATGAGTATTTCCGTGCTTCTCCCAGTTCGGGCGTCATCGCCTCTGCTGGGGCAGAACCGTCACTGCTCCTTTTGTTGGAGCCGTCTCTATAACTGGAGGCAATGGTGACAGGTGACGGTGGCAGGTGGCCGTTGGGAATGCGGCCGTCAAGCGTCAGATCCCAAGTCAGTCAGGTGCGCCGCCCCTGGGTACGGACTCCTTCGGTGTCAGGTACGGCGTGGTTCGTCCAGTTCAATGCTCCGGGAGCAAAGTGCCTGGAGTGGTGCGTGAGGCAGTCTCGAGTTCGGATAAGGGGAGGCCCCGAACTGTCATAAGACGGGCTAGTTCGGGTCTCTGCTTTGTGTGACTCGGGGTCAAAGGAAGAGTTCGGGCTCCTCGCAGGGAGTTCGATCACTAAGTAGGGAGCTTGGGCACCTTGCAGAGAGTTCGGCCACTAAGTAGGGAGCTCTTTCGAACTCTAAGTAGGGAGCTCGGGCACTAAGTAGGGAGTTCGAGCTCTAAGTAGGGAGCTCGGGCCTGCTGGTCCCTTCCCTTTGGCGTTTGTACCCTCGGTATGCTGTCTTGAGTGCCGAACTGCTTCCCTTTTTTGCCACGTGCCGTGATTTGCGAGGTCGGGCCAAATCTTCCTTCATCAGGTTGCCTCCAGGCATTAAATCCAAGAGTGTTGAAATAAGGAATTAAGGAAAGGTTAAAATTGCTTTTGCAAAGTTACAATGACAGAAAAGGTGGGGCATTGATTCAATTTCCTGGTTACAAAGAGTATATAGATTGTCTTGTCCTTGACTAAATAGGGTCTCCCTAACTGGAATGTAGTTATTTACCACTCTCCAAAAGAGCAATTGAAATCTAGTTGGGAGAGGGAGCTTCCAAATTTTTTTTTGAACCATTTGCTTTTCTCTTTCGAGATGGGAGTCGTGAACGGTTGAGTTCCACAGATGTAAGCATTTTTGGAAGAAAATTTCCCTGTGGGATGTCCTAACCATAGCCATGAGACATTGCATTCCTCAGGGTATACTGGAGTCTTGATGATTCTTTGCAATTTCCTCCCAATTTAAAATCCTTCTAAGAGAGTTACATTCCAATCTCCATTAGAAATGAACTCAACTATTGACTTAGATTTTAGGACTCTACTAACCAGATTGGTTATTAAAGAAAAGCAATTATATTCTTGGATCTAGGGGACTTGGTCCACTTTAATTTTAGATCCCACATTAAATAGGTAGCCCACTTATTGCAAAAGTTCTTAAAGGATTGGAGCTATGGCCCTTCAAATCGGGGAGCATTTTTTTGTTACATATGGAAAGAAACCCTCATTTCTCAAATATTTCGAATTCCAGATTTGAGCTCAAAGTTTGTGTTGCTCGTTTAAGAATCTCCAGCCTAATTTTTTGAGTAAGACTAAATTAACCCTCTTTAAACTTCTAAAACCAAGACCTTCAATGATTTTGGATTGGGCTAACTTATTCCAGGCACACCATCTATGTCGGTTGGGTTTCACTTCCATTTTAGCTCACCATAAAGCCTTATTTTCTCTTATCCATTTCATTTGAAGTATTTTGACGGAGTTTGACCACCTTCATTACATGGATGTGGAGGGACTGGAGGACAACATTGATGAGTGTTTGTTTTCCAGCTTGGCTCAGAGTTGTAGCTTCCAGGTATTCAGCTTTGCATTTATGCTTTCTAGGAGAAACCCTAGATCATGTTGTTTCTTTCTTGACCAAAACATAGGAACTCCCAAGTACTCTGTATGGTTGTTCAACGTTTTCATGTAGAGTTGTCTTTTTAGCATTCTTTGGTGCCCAGGGTGTATATTCCTACTAAAAGTAACTCTAGATTTCTGAAAGTTGATGCACTGACCCGCTAGAGACTAAAACTGATCTAGAGTTTCTTTTAGATTCTCAATTTCATCCCTATGAGCTCTTAGGCTATGTTCGGTTTGAAGGGAAAGGTAGGGAAAGGAAGGGAAAGACAGGGAAACCAATATAAGATTTGTAAAGGTTTCCTTTCTTTTCCCTACATTTTCCTTCAAGCCAAACATAACCTTAGGAAAAGCATTATGTCATCAACAAAAAAACACAGGAAATTGCCCATGGAGCTCCACATATGACTCACTCCCCTTGAATTTTGATTCATTTCCCCATTCACTATTCCAGTTGTACAAATTGTAGTAAAGTTTATAGGTGGACTTAACAATAAAATCCCTAAAAAAACATGAAATTGCCATCATGTATGAGGATATATTATCAATAAAATGCTACCAACACTATCCCAACAGGCGACTACAGTGACATATTGAAAACATTTCTCTTGTCATTTTATGGAGAGATGTTCCTGATGAATGACTGTCATGGCTAGTTGGGACAGTGTTGTGAGTAAACGGTTGTTGGTAGCAGATATGGCCTTATATGAGATGTGCAATGTCATATCATGTTGGGAGGGTGTTGGGACATATTTTGTTGTGAGATGATCCCGATTCCATTTATGTGGACAGTGGGTTGAGCAAATGATGGTTCAGCCAGTCACATTATCTCTGCCCAATAATTGGTGTGATGAAAGTGGTAACCAATCATGTGGTTATTTGATTGGACAAAGCCTTTTAGGTATCATGCCTTTCAAGCAATATAAACTTTTCGGCCACAAGGATTATTTATGAAGGGGAAAATAATAATAATAATAATAATAATAATAATAATAATAATAATAATAATAATAATAATAATAATAATAATAATAATAATAATAATGGATCTTATTTGAATCTCAACCAATCACATTAAAGTCTATTTATTTTTTATTGATCTAATTTTTTATGTTTGAGAATCTGTATTTACCTTTATGTTCAACCAATCATCTCTTTTGCTGCAACACATAATAGATACATCATAAATTTTGCCATATATTTAAATTCAATGGCGAATTTCTTAAAGTACCCCCTATGATTTAGGAAATTGATCAACTTGTCGTTACTATTTACATATTGTCTTAAAGTACCCTTAAATTTTCTTAAATTTTTTGACAATTATCTAAAACCTCCCTTATCATTAACTTTCCATCACACTCCATTCATATGTGACATCAGTTAATTGATATATTTTTAAAATTCTTAAAATACCCTTTTATGGTTCCACTCCATCTCAATCTTCGTCTCCCATTTCAATTCCATCTCCACCTCTATCTCCATCTCCATCTCCGTTTTTATCTTCGTCTCCATCTCCAAATCATTGTTTGCTACCAGCCACTTTGGTTTCATAATACAGAGC